AATTGTCCCTCTCCTATGAATGCAGCACATAACATAAAATTATAATGGCTGAAATATGAAGTAATAAAACATTTTATGTTAAATTGTTATAAGTAATGTAAATCAGTCATAAGGATGAAATACTATTTTAGTTTTCACTAATTAGGGTGACCTACTCACGGATTTATGGTTGCCACATGAGAGTGAATACATTACACTAATACATAAAAGTAATATATTCGTTTCATACCACTGTTTGAGCTAAAGTTTTGCTTTCGACAGGTGTGATACCCAGGATTCCGGAGAGGTCATCTGAATTCACTCAACTAGGATGCATTGCAAGAAATGGGATGGCTGGTGTCTATTCCAATATTTAGTTTTATCAAGCTAGCACAAAACAATTTCTGTATTACCTGATTGGTTAATGAAAAGTCTAAACAACATAGTTCCCTTAAAGCACCCAGCCTCGGGTTTACGTGGCGCTTATAAACTTTGCTCTCCCCCGGGTGTCCAATAGGTCCTCTACTGTGGGTGTGGGGTAAGGATCAGGCTGTGTGATATCATTTAGTTTCCTATAATCCACACAAAAATCTCATAGTCTTATCCTTTTTGGGTACTGTCACTATAGGAGATATCGGGGCTTTTGGGTTTGGTGATTACTCCCATTGCCAACATGCTTTCTACTTCTTCCTGAACCTGTTTCTGCATTTTTCCCTTGGCCCTGTAAGCCCTGCTAGGAGCTAATGGGGACCTGTGGTCTTAATGGCATGCCATTCTATCGGTGAGCCCTAGTCTGTTTGAAAATGCTCACTGGTGATGCTTCAACAACAACAGCAATTCTTTCCTTTGAGTGAGCGGTAAACCTTCCCCCATCTCAATGCTTCAAGAGATGCCGCTACCTAACTTTCAGCAACCATATAGATTAAAGGGACTAACATTGTCTGTTTCTCAGCACAGCATGTTAGGGATGTTAGTGTATAGATGTTTAAATGATTAACCAATAAACCTGGGCTTTTCAGTTAATCCAAACTACTACACACAATGCCCCCCATGCTGCCTCTATATTAGAGGCAGCAAGGGGGGGGGGAAGGGGGAAGAGGTGGGAGCCAGTGCCCATGGAGAGCCAGCTTTTAAGCCAGCTCCCAAGCATCAGGTCCCATGGAGCCACTAGTCCCCCCGCTACTGCACTGCTGCCTCTGATAGGCAGCTGTGTGGAGGGTTAAAGGTGCAGGCGGGAGCCAGTACACATGGGAGGCTGGCTTTCAAGCCAGCTCCCTGCATGTATCAGCTCCTATGGAGTCACCTGAGGCCCCGCCCCCTCCCATGTTCCTGCTTCTTTATCAGAGGCAGCAGCGTAAGAGGGGGCAGGCTTTTAAGCTAGTTCTTCATACACGTTGGTTCTGCAGAGCTGCCTGCCCCCACTTGCTGCCTTCCACAGAGGCAGCAGAGGATGGGGGCAGGTAAGAGCCGGGTGCTTGGTGGGAGCTGTATCTGAGGCAGTAAAGGAGGGGGAGCGACTACTGCAACAGAACAGCCTCTGTCTGCAGTGGCCTGGGCTCATTGTGGACAAAGGCTGCTCCGTGGGATGCCGGAATTGCACCTGTCCACAGAAGCTCGGGCCCCTTGCAGACAGGGGCTGGTGCCACTCTGCACTGCTGCCTCTGTGTTAGAGGCAGCAGTGCAGGGTGGCAGGGGCTCCCCAGGAGTGGAGCTGGGAGCTGGAGTTCACTGGCTGCAGGTCCTGATCCTGAGGAGTATTTAGTAACTGTGACTGTTAAAAATTGTTGACAAACCCTGAGGGGCAATACCTTCCAAAGAATCATGCCCTGTGGTCTCCGCACCCAAGTTGAATAAAACCGCCACTGGTACTTACAGCACTGGGAGC